GGGGGGGGGGGGGGGGGCGTCCGGTCGTCCGTCCTTCCGCCCAAGAGGTTTGTTTGGGACTTATCTTGAAAATTGTTTCACCACGAGTAACCAGATTTGGTGTACAAGGACATCTTGGGATGGCGGAGTGCGGGGTGCAAGACAAATGTCACCATGACCTCAGTGTGACCTAAGACTTGCCATTTGACCTTAACTTTTGAAAAAGTTTGTTAGGGGCATATCTTCTGGACTATTTCACCTGGATTTACCAGATTTTATATACAAAGACATCTTGGAATGGTGAAGCGCAAGAAGTAGGTCACTATGACCTCACTGTGACCTATGCTTCCTGACATATGTGTACTGTTTGTTAAATATAGAATTACCAGTGGGGGACTATGGATTGCCTTGCAATACTTTGCCTTGTTTCTTTTGATACAATCATGAATTGATCGAATTATCCGCTGAAAATGATGGTTTGGTGATTCATTTCGAGTACTGTCACTTTATGCTGATTCCGTTGCATGAATTTCAATTCTTCTTGTTTTGCAATATTTCCTAAAAACAGCTGAATCGTTTTGTTGTGGCACAATATTTGCATTCGGTTTTTACAGTCTTTAGATAACCCTACCACAAAAATGTTTTTATAATCCGGTTACGTTGAGAACTATTCCACGTAAATGTTTTCGAGTCGGCAACTGTTCGGGTTTTTTCGTCTAACTGTTCGGGTCTTTCCGCCAATCTGTTTGAGTGTGACCTCAAGTTCAAATTATGACAGAAAATCCCGTATGGTTACGAGTGTTCGCCGTCTTTCTCAAAAATGGCTGTTCCACCATTTGGTAAACCAATCTGTTTAATATGTATTTGGAACAAAATGAGACCACACTGAACGTTTATTGACATTCTCCTTGACGTTTTGAACGTAAATGTAAGGATTGAAGTTATTTTTTAACATTTTTGATTGGTATGCAACACCGTTTCGTTCAAACATGATCTCAAAAACGCACTATCGCACATCATGAATTTTTCCTGAACCGAACAGCTGTGTTGCATATTCCTCACAAATATCGAAAAGGTGCTTGTTATTCCCTAACTCAATACAATAAACGACATTATAACTGATCTTTTCGCGTTGTAGGGCGTTCATCTGGATTTGTGACCACAACGAGGGTCACACACGCTACGCCGGCCGCTTCCTTTGCTAAAACTCCCAACCGGAACTGGGAATACGACGTCGCAATGAACATGGAAGGGGTTCCCTTACAAGGCTGCAGGAAAGACATAGCCTATCAGCTCGTTTACAACTCCTCTCTCAAGGTTTTATACAAAATTCTTTGAAATCGAATCATAAAGGGATAGAACGGTGTTTTTGAAATGTTCATGCCGGTATGAACGCAAATCGGTTACATCCATATTGCATGAAGCCCGCCGCGTACCGGCATGAACATTTTTAAAAACGACGTTCAATCCATATCTAAACATTTTATAGAATAATTGTTTAATTTTATTTATTAGTTCTTAAATAATTTGTTTATTGACTGCGTTTTGTATATGCATTGTCCTTTAAACGACATAGGGACAGCCCTATTTTTTAAAAATGGCACCAATAATTAACCGTAGTCATTTGAGTGTTTGACGCAGGGACATTCGCCATGTGCAACAAGACTCTCATTGAACAAGGTTGATTGAGGACGTCATAAGTAAACCACGTGTTACGTCACGGGAGTTTTTGCTTTCATACTCAAATGAAATGCATTTCTGCTGGTAATGTTCATATAGTGGGTTGCAGTGCAAATGTAAATATACCCCCGAATAATCAAGTTCAGAGGTTTATAGGAATCTGCTTTGTGTTTATTCCACCGTCTGCCGTTTTCCTGTAAAGGACCGGAAAATACAAAGAGCGAAACTAGTATTGGAACATAAAAGCTTCGACCTCTAGACGGCCATTTTAGGACAAGTCAGTGTTTCGAATCACTGCAACTTTGTAACAGACATGATATATTGTCGCGTTCCATCTTGTAAATATTGCCGAGGGTGCAGCAAAATTGGGGTTTGACTTTTGACATTTTATAGGTATTGAGCGGAGTGGGAAAGAAGAACTGGGAACATAAACGAATTATTTTCTTCGTTATTATCACCTTCATCCAATATCTATCATTTATTCCTGTTGATATCATCATCCACAATCTATCATTTACTCCTGTTTATATCATCATCCAAAATTTATCAATAATTCCTGTTTATATCACCATCCCCTGTTTATCATTCACTCCTGTTAATATCATCCACAATTCATCATTCACTTCTGTTTATATCATCACCCACAATTACTCATTTATTCAGGTTCATATCATCATCCAAAATATATTATTTACTCCTGTTAATATCACTACCAACAAATTATCACTTTCTCCTGTAAATACAACAATCCAAATGTTATCATTTATTCCGGTTTATATCATCGTCTTCAATTTATCATTCACTTCTTTTAATCATCATCCACAATTTATCATTTTCTCCTGATAATACCATCATCCACTTGTTATTATTTATTCCGATTATTATCATGCACAATTTTCAGTCACTCCTGTTGATTACATCATTTACATATTATCATTAACAATCCTGTTATTGTCATTAACAGAATATAATATATAACCCGGTTAGTATCATCAGCAACAACATTTTGATATTATCATCATCCGCATATTATTGATCAAAATATGTCATCATTATTATTAACAAGTTACGAACTACAACCCTGCTGGTAGCATCGTGATTTAAGCGTTTGTTTTGTACAACCGCTTATTATCATCATCCACAGGTTATCATGGGCGGCGGACGGATGTTTTTTCAGGACAAAAATACACTTGACCCTGAACTCGGTAATGTAACCCTCGACTACCATCGACAAGATGGTTTGAATCTTATTAAGGTAAGACTACTCCGCTGAGACAAGGTCCTACCACGTCTTAACTCGTTCACCCCTATATCTTTAAACTGGACTTGCCCAGTCTTCGATTTGGTAAGGTTTAGATGTGATCGACCTTAGGGGTGAATGGGTTAAAGCTAGCAATGTGATTCGGTAAAATAATCGATGGCAGATACACAAGAAAGTCTTTAAGGATAAAGTCCTGTTCAGTTGGGGTTTATGGGCTATACACCTCAGTTCATATCAAAATAACCTCAGACCATGCATTGAGGTGTATTCCCCGATAATCCTAAACGCAACAGGATCCAATCCTTATATTTACATGTAATATATATGTATGTTCATTTCAATCCGAAACTTCTGAAAAAAACCCAACTGAAAACAAAACGTAAATCGGACTACTTTCCGCGCTTACATATGTTTTTGCTTACGTATTTATACGCCAACCAAGAAGTTCTTGGAAAAATAATCCCTATGCGCTTTAAAAGGTATATCGAGTCCTAGTTTCATATAAATGTAAATATCCACCGATATAACAGGCAGAGAAGAAACATTACTGTCTGTATACAACAGATTTTTTAAAGTAAATATATAGAGATCACATCGGTTTATTTGTGACGTTTCGATTTCTAGAATGATATGTACTCTTTCACATTCACCAGGCAGATGATCAGTAAATCATTTGTTCTTTAAGCGGACTTGTAAATGTTGGCAATAAATTGATAAGTCGATTCGGCCACGCTAAAGACACATGTTTACTTAGTTGTTATAAAATATCAGAGTTCATCTCGTCATCGAAACGTCACACAAAATGTTTAACTGGTTGTGCTCTATGAGCCTGTAGGCACTGTATACGGGAGTGTTGTAACCTAACAGTGTAATTACTTTATCAAAATCACGGATAGAAATATTCTAGATAATAAATTCACCACCCACCCCACCCCACCCCATCCCTATTAAATCTGTCACATTCGATAACTATCCATTCAAATCAATACATTATCAATTATCCATCACAGGAGTGGAAGAAGAGAAATGAGTACAAAAGGGGCAGATATGTCTGGAACAAAGGCCAGTTTGACACGGTCGACCCTCTAAACACAGACAGATTGCTGGGTTAGTATTCACCCTTAGTGAGGATCAACCTCTCTAAATCTGACACAACTGGGTAAACATTCACCCAGAAAGAGGATACAACTCGGTAAATGTTCCCCTGGGGGAATATCGATCTCTCCAAGACTGATATTACTGGGTAGGTACCCTTAGGGACCCGGAAGATCAACCTCTCAAAGACTGATACAACTGGCAGAGTATTCACTTTTAGGGAGGATCAAGCTCTTCAAGTCTAACATACCTTGGTAAGAGTATTCACACTGAGGTAGGATCAACATCTCCAAGTCTAACATACATTGGTAAGTATTCACACTGAGGGAGGATCAACCTCTCCAAGTCTAACGTACCTTGGTAAGTATTCACACTGAGGTAGAATCAACATCTTCAAGTTTAACATACAATGGTAAGTATTCATACTGAGGGAGGATCAACCTCTCCAAGTCTAACCTACCTTGGTAAGTATTCACACTGAGGTAGAATCAACATCTCCAAGTTTAACATACAATGGTAAGTATTCATACTGAGGGAGGATCAACCTCTCCAAGTTTAACATACCTTGGTAAGTATTCACACTGAGGGAGGATCAACATTTCCAAGTTTAACATACAATGGTAAGTATTCACAGTGAGGGAGGATCAACCTCTCCAAGTCTAACATACCTTGGTAAGTATTCACACGTAGGGAGAATCGACCTCTCCAAGTCTAACATACAATGGTAAGTAGTCACATTGAGCGAGGATCAACATCTCTAAGTCTAACATACCTTGGTAAGTATTCACATTGAGGGAGGATCAACCTCTCCAAGTTTAACATACCTTGATAAGTATTCACACTGAGGGAGGATCAACAACTCCAAGTCTAACATACCTTGGTAAGTATTCACACTGAGGTAGGATCAACATATCCAAGTCTAACATACAATGGTAAGTAGTCACATTGAGGGAGGATCAACATCTCTAAGTCTAACATACCTTGGTAAGTATTCACACTGAGGGAGAATCAACATCTCCAAGTTTAACATACCTTGGTAAGTATTCACACTGAGGTAGGATCAACATATCCAAGTCTAACATACAATGGTAAGTATTCACACTGAGGGAGGATCAACAACTCCAAGTCTAACATACCTTGGTAAGTATTCACATTGAGGGAGGATCAACCTCTCCAAGTCTAACATACCTTGGTAAGTATTCACACTGAGGGAGGATCAACCTCTCCAAGTCTAACATACAATGGTAAGTATTCACACTGAGGGAGGATCAACCTCTCCAAGTCTAACATACAATGGTAAGTATTCACACTGAGGGAGGATCAACCTCTTCAGGTCTAACATACAATGGTAAGTATTCACATTGAGGGAGGATCAACCTCTTCAGGTCTAACATACAATGGTAAGTAAGTAACACTATTGGGTAAAGCATTCAACCAAAGGGATGATCGACCTCTTCAAATCTGACGCTACTGGGTGAGTATTCAACCTGAGGAAAAGTCGACCTCTTCAAATCTGACGTTACTGGGTGAGTATTCAACCTGAGGAAAAGTCGACCTCTCAAAGACTGACACTACTGGATAAGTTTTTACCCTTAGGGAGTATCGACCTCTCCAAAACTGACACAACCTGGTAAGTTTTCAATCTGTGGGATGATCGACCTCTCCAAATCCGACACAACTGAAAGTATTCAACCTGAGGGATGATCGACCTCTCCAAATCCGACACAACTGAAAATATTCAACCTGAGGGAGGATCGACCTCTCCTAATCTGACACAACTAGGTAAGTATTCAATCTGAGGGGGATCGACCTCTCCAAATCCGACACAACTGAAAATATTCAACCTGAGGGAGTATCGACCTCTCCAAATCTCACACAACTAGGTAAGTATTCAACCTGAGGGAGTATCGACCTTTCCAAATCTCACACAACTGGGCAAGTATTCAAACTGAGGGGGGTTCGACCTCTCCAAATCCGACACAACTGGGTAAGTATTCAACCTGAGGAAGGATCGACCTCTCCAAATCTCACACAACTAGGTAAGTATTCAAATTGAGGGAGTATCGACCTCTCCAAATCCGACACAACTGGGTAAGTATCCAACCTGAGGGAGTATCGACCTCTCCAAATCTGACACAACTAGGTAAGTTTTCAACCTGAGGAAGGATCGACCTCTCCAAATATCACACAACTAGGTAAGTATTCAACCTGAGGGAGGATCGACCTCTCCTAATCTGACACAACTAGGCAAGTTTACAACCTGAGGGATGATCGACCTCTCCAAATCTGACACAACTAGGTAAGTATTCAAACTGAGGGGGGATCGACCTCTCCAAATCCGACACAACTGGGTAAGTATCCAACCTGAGGGAGTATCGACCTCTCCAAATCTGACACAACTAGGCAAGTTTTCAACCTGAGGGATGATCGACCTCTCCAAATCTGACAGTATCCAACCTGAGGGAGTATCGACCTCTCCAAATCTGACACAACTAGGTAAGTATTCACACTGAGGGGGATCGACCTCTCCAAATCCGACACAACTGGGTAAGTATTCAACCTGAGGGGGATCGACCTCTCCAAATCTGACACAACTGGGTAAGTATTCAAACTGAGGGAGTATCGACCTCTCCAAATCTCACACAACTAGGCAAGTATTCAACCTGAGGGATGATCGACCTCTCCAAATCTGACACAACTGGGTAAGTATTCAACCTGAGAGAGTATCGACCTCTCCAAATCTGACACAACTGGGCAAGTATTCAACCTGAGAGAGTATCGCCCTCTCCAAATCCGACACAACTGGGTAAGTATCCAACCTGAGGGAGTATCGTCCTCTCCAAATCGGACACAACTGGGCAAGTATTCACCCTGAGGGATGATCGACCTCTCCAAATCTTACACAACTGGGCAAGTATTCACCCTGAGGGATGATCGACCTCTCCAAATCTGACACAGCTGGGTAAGTATTCAACCTGAGAGAGTATTTACCTCTCCAAATCTGACACAACCGGGCAAGTATTCAACCTGAGGGTGGATCGACCTCTTCAAATCCGACACAACTGGCCTAAGATTCAAACTCAGGGGGGATCGACCTCTCCTAATCTGACACAACTAGGTAAGTATTCAAACTGAGGGAGTATCGACCTCTCCAAATCCGACACAGTTGAAAGTATTCAACCTGAGAGATGATCGACCTCTCCAATTCTCACACAACTGGGCAAGTATTCAACCTGAGAGAGTATCGCCCTCTCCAAATCCGACACAACTGGGTAAGTATCCAACCTGAGGGAGTATCGCCCCCTCCAAATCTCACACAACTAGGCAAGTATTCAACCTGAGGGAGGATAGACCTCTTCAAATCCGACACAACTGGCCTAAGATTCAAACTCAGGGGGGATCGACCTCTCCTAATCTGACACAACTAGGTAAGTATTCACACTGAGGGGGATCGACCCCTCCAAAGCCGACACAACTGGGTAAGTATCCAACCTGAGGGAGTATCGCCCCCTCCAAATCTCACACAACTAGGTAAGTATTCACACTGAGGGAGAATCAACATCTCCAAGTTTAACATACCTTGGTAAGTATTCACACGTAGGGAGAATCAACCTCTCCAAGTCTAACATACATTGGTAAGTATTCACACTTAGGGAGGATCACCCTCTCCAAGTCTAACATACCTTGGTAAGTAATCACACTGAGGTAGGATCAACCTCTCCAAGTCTAACATACCTTGGTAAGTATTCACACTGAGGGGGATCGACCTCTCCAAATCTGACACAACTAGGTAAGTATTCAAACTGAGGGAGGATCCACCTCTCAAAATCCGATACTACTCAGTAGGCACTCACCAACGGAGTACCACTTCGAGTCGCTGACACAGCTAGCACATCAAGTTTTTTTTCTACTTTGAGTATTCTCCCTTCTATATAGAAGATTTAACACCACAAAAGGAGTTCTTCTGGCTTTGATTAGCTTTCCTTGGGATACCAACCAGTATAGGCCTTACTTAAGGTAAATAGTACCACTGCATCGGATATAGTCGCGAAGAAGAGTTCCAGAGTTTTTTCGACTTGGAGTATTCTCTATTCTATATCCAATATTAAGCCCCCAAAAGGAGTTTTTCTGGGTTTGAAAAACTTCCCTTATCAAGTTTTATATGGGCTTCGAGGCCAATGAATTGGAAACAATTTTTGATGGTTTGCAGTTATAATTTTCAAAATAGCCACATTTAGAAAGTGTAGGCTCTGTAATGTGAATATCCCGAGTTCGACCCACGGTGTTTTCTTTGATATTTCTATTTTCAAATATTCACAAATTCCAAATAACAAAAAAAAATATGAAAGATACGTGGCAACATGTAGTTTTTATTAAACACTTCTTTTAAAGATCTTTCCAGTTTTAAAAATGATTTTTGTTGTGTATTTCTGTGAAAAATGTAATATTGAATTATACCGTTAGAATACTTGTTTGAGAATGATTATATATATGTTATGACTTATATATTTAATGTGTGTTGTTTTATTTGCCAGGCCTATTCGAGCCTTCCCACATGCAATTTGAAATGGACAGAGATGACGGCCCTTCTGGCGAACCATCTTTAGCACAAATGACAGGAAAAGCAATTAGAATACTTCAAAAAGACCCAAAAGGGTTCTTTCTGCTTGTTGAAGGTACGACACAATTTTAGGTTCCCTGTCCCTCTGAACTATGTTTTTTCCCTATATACAGTTATCTCCCCTTAACTTCCGTTTTTAAATTAAACGTACTGGTAACTGTAGCACAGTGGGGCGAACACTTTCGTTGCAGACAGGTACACAACTGTATTGTCAGTAATAAAAAAAACTTTTGTTAACGAAGTTAGCAATAGTGCCCCGTTTAGTTAAATAAAGGTACGGCATGCTTTTATTGATGACGATGATGATGATGATGATGATGATGATGATGATGATCTGATCAGTTTTGGAAAGAGTCTTCTATCAGACGACATCATTTCGGTTGCTTTCATTTAAAATAAAATGTCAACATAAAAAGCATCGTAAGAACAAAATGCCGACCCTCCTTCCATTGCTATTGAAAAGAAAATGAGTATTGATATACATGTAGCAGAAATATGTAGCAAGCTTCTAAGATTGTTACAATTTTTTTAAGAAAGTTATTTGTGCAATTCAGTTTACCAACATGTTTTAATTTTGTTGACTTGAAGCCGTTATTAACTAAAGTCCGTGTCACATAGCTAATTACTATTCAAAATGAAGCTTGGGTTTCATTGATTGACAGGTGGCAGGATAGACCACGCCCACCATATGAGCAATGCCGCGAGGTCATTACATGACGTTTTGGCATTCGAGGATGCTGTGAAAAGTGCTGTTCATTTGACCAATGAGAAAGACACGCTCATTATCGTCACGGCTGATCATTCGCACGTGTTTACAATAGCCGGATATTCATCTAGAGGAAATGACATACTTGGTAAATAAAAATCCCCGATTACGTATACTATATAATTGGCATGTAGATAAAATGACTGTATTAGTACGCATGTCGGTATTTTTGCATGCTAGCAATCATGGTTATATATTATGATGTTACGTTTATTTGTCATAGGGAAATAATTGAATGAAAAACCACAGGTTAAAGGCGTAAGGTATTGTATATCCCCATATACTGTTATAATTGTACGGGGGAAGGAAATTTTTAGAAATTGATATTTTCTCTTTAGGACAAAGAGCAACGTAACTATTTTGATTTTAAGATACTAAGTGTTAATACATTTGGTAAAGCACTCTATAGGAAGATGGTGGACAGACTTCATCTAATACGAGGCAACGGCGGCCATCTTGAATGTTAATATTATATGAGTGCCTCGGCTAGATGAGGTGGACATTGCGGGGAAAAACACCAACTGTATGTTCACGTGATGTTCATATATTCATCTTGCCTTTCGAAATCTAGTTGTTAAAATTCATCAAATGATTACATAGTGGTTATATTTGATTTCAGATAAACCAAACAAATTCATATATTGCATTTCATGTACGCGCCGGTATAATTGTACAGGTGTTCCCCAGGGATCAATACTAGGTCCTGTTTTTATTCATTTTCTAAACCACTGACTTCGTTTCACGCGGAACAATAAAGTGTTGAAATGCATGCAGACGACTCTAAAAGTCAGCTTCATATATGGTGAGTTAGTAAACACCGTACTCTACATGTACGTCAAGTGAAATTACAGCTTTCCTATCAATATTTTAGGTGTTGCAAGCTCTAAACGTATTTGGGGACTAGAAATATAATAATACCCTTAGCTGGACAGATCATACAAAATCATAAATATCCTCAAAAAACATAAAAGATCGCACCACGGCGCACATATCATCTGGTGATATTTGGAATGGTATATTTACAAACCTCGTTCTAAAGAATGTATTTTTATGATCCAAGATAGAAACAAAGCCCCGAGTAGATTGAAAGCAAAGTAAAATGGAATTTTCAGTATCACTTTACGTGTTAATGACCATTTCTGTATTTAACATAGAACGTTGAGCAATGCTTAAAAATATGGTTCCGGAAAGCTGACGCATGCGTTCTAATTTACATAGCAACTGTTACCATAGGCAATTTTATTTTGTTTAAAATCCAAGATGGCTACCAGTATAATATATTGAATAAACTGGCTCATGTTTGAAATTGTAGCTTTAGTAATAAGTGGACATAACTTGGAATTTTTGTTCGGACTGTCCACATTTTTGTCTCAAATCTGACCCTTAGTCACTAGTCAATTAAAATGTTAGCGGTTTTAAAATTCATCATCTGGAGATGCATTTCAAAGTAATTTAACATTCAATATATTTTCTCAAAATGAATCTGACTTCTGTGAACCTCGTTTTCAGGTATAAATGACAATCCCATGAATGTCCCCGCTGACGGGGTTCCCTACACCACGCTTTCATACGCCAACGGTCCAGGATATAGATTTGGGTCCCGCAACTTTACCGACATCGCTAACTCAAGTAAGATTTGGTTTAGTTGAAATTCGTTTAACAGCTAATGTCATTTAAGGACGTTCTTCCATGTGTGTAGTATGTGCGTGCTTGCGTGTGTGTATGTAGGAGACATGGTATTTTGGTGCACTTCCCTCCTTGTGAGAGCACGGATCTAATGCCGACTTAATAGTGCTATCTCATTGAAAAATCATGCCAAAGGCACCCATCACAGCATTTCACCCGGTCACATTATACTGATAACGGGTGAACCAATTTCCCTAAATGCTGAACGTTAAGCAGGGAATAACAACTACCATCTTTAAGGACTTTGGTATGTCCCGGTCTGGGGACAGATTCCATTGCCTTCCGCACCTGGGCGAACGCTCGACATTCAAGCCAAATGTGAGGTGTTGCCGAGCAAGGCGCTAGGAAACAAAAGGTAGCTACATTATGTAGCACTCTAACAATGAAATTTGCAAAATTCCTTCTTCTTAGATGTATAATTAGGGATATAGGCGTATGCAATGTTGTGATCTTTTATCGGTAAGAGAATAAAATCTCCGTATTTTGAGATTTGTGGACATAAATCAGGCTCTTCGACGCCGTTTAAATTTCATTTGTTGAAACATATTTTATTGCTTTTAAATACAGCAAAGAGATTGGGAAGGATACACTGACATGTTATTATATAATTCTTATTTAGATAATACTCCATTTGTTATTTCATTTGCTTTAGAATACATATAATGAGTAGACGCCAATTCAGTACATCAAATGTGACCCTGAGCTATTTCGTTTTAAGTCATATAAATGCACAGAGTATTGTTGATATTGAATTTAAGTGGTCATGTGAAACCTTGACTACAATTTTCCTTACACTGTTTATAAAGGAATGGTGTCTTTATGGCCCCTTTTTGGGCCCCGGTATATTTCCGATTTTCACCTACTTATTTTGTTCAAAGATGTCCTATTGTATGACATGCGGAAAAACTAAGGTAAAACTTTGACCGAAAGTGGGTTTCTGTGGGTACCAAAAGGGGTATGGTAAATCACAAATATAGTTTGCTGTTTTCAAAGTGAGCTTAAAACCCAAAATAATACCATTTCTGTTTTTGAAACATTAGGCAAGCATGTGTAACGGAATGAAAAATGACAGAAATTCAATCGTCACTTAAAGATTGTTTATATAAAACGAAGGGTTACGTCAGGGGGGTCTTTTTGGTCATTTTCAATTGACGAGTATTTTGTTTTCTCAATAATATCCTTTCTAATTAATATTTTGACTTGAAATTTACAACTTTTTTGAGAAAAAATGGCGGAAACATTCGCCCCTGTGGTTAAAAGTAAAAGACCCAGGTCTCATCCCCTATAAGTGATTTAGATAGCTTTCTTGAATCGCAATTACCGTACTTTTTCAATATACTTTTTGCACATTTCAAACATTTGGCCTTTTGTTCAGATGTCAGCAAATGGGAGATCTTAAGTTGTTGGTCAGGATGTGATAAGTGTCTTCTGAAGCGCCAACCATATGANTCAGAATGTGATGTGTGCTGCCCTCTGAAATGCCAACTACAATTATGCGCTATCTCAGAAACAGTATCATCGTCCATAGACCTTAAATTATTGCGTTCACAGCAGCGACGTTCTTCTTTGATTCTGCAACAACTGACCTGTCTGGCCCTGTGTTCTCTTTGATGTCAACTTTACCGTTCTTGAATTTGTTCACCCACCTGAAAAAAGTTCTCATAGTGAGAACAGGTGTGCCTTTTATGTTGCACAACTCTGCATGTATCTGTTTTGGTGGTATCTGTAAAGCACACAGTCTCAACCTTCATTTTTAGCATTAAAATTTCTTGTTGGATAATGTCGAAATTTCGCACTTGTATTGTAATTTTATGCTTTTAGAGTCTGTCTAGGCGCTTAACTATTGTATTGCCCATTCGTACGGGAGCTTTGTGGTGACCGAATTTATTAAATGGCCCTCGTAGAGCCCCTTTGCCTTTGTGTCTTTTGACTTATATCTGATTGGTTAACAACGCATTGTCTACAAAATGAAAACTATTGTTAGGTACAAACCGAACCGCACTGTGATTACGTAATTTGGTTTCTATTTAAACATGAAAATATCCTATGTGTTATGCGTTATGTTTTCAATCTCTTATAACGATTACATGATGTCTAGGTGATACAAGAATTTCACCGAATCCACATATTTATACGAAATTCTGCTCGATATCTGAGTAGACGGCGACACATACATTTGCGAGTTATCTCCCGTTGAACCCCCATAGCTAATGTCATAAGTTTTCAGGTCCCTGTGGAAACGTTAGTTTCGAACTTTTATTATTCATCGTTTCAAAACTGATTCAAAACTACATATAATTGGTTTAATAAATCCAGAATCGAGTAATTTTTAAGCTAACACGAAATCGCGATCGGTAAAACGAGCATAGCATGGAACGGAAAGTGGCATAGAATGGAATGAACACGCAATATATTTGTAAACGAGTGCAACAACACAAATGTACATAGCATGGAAAATAGACACTTATCAACTAGGAAAATAATGAAAATGTACAGAGGACAAGATTCCAAAACCAACTAATTATATAAAAAAAAACTAATTATGGCGGTGATCCCCTTACATAGTTGTGCGCCTGGTTAGTCTCGTTCAACCAGACGCTTGATCACTTGTAATTCTCTGTTTGGCGTAGATTGCGCAGACAATAAGAGTCTGGTTGAACGAGACTATATGCGCCTGGTGAGATAAGTAGCAGTCGGGAAAAGGCTTCGCAAGCTTATAACACTTAGATCTTATTCCGTGCCTATACATGACATAAATTTAAGTCATTGAAATTTCATATATGTTCATATAAATATACTTATAATATTTATGAAATCTTATAACTCAATTTTACCTGCAGTTTTAAAATAAACAGTGCTTATTGTTCAAGGGGAGATAACTCAAACATTGGACATCTCGGGGAACTTATTTAGAACATAGCGCTATATACCATCAATAGACAATCACATAACGTAGCAATCTAAAAGTAACCAGGCATACAGGCTATACTGTATACATTTAAGGACTGGAAGAGAATCTGAGGGTCACTTCCAAAAGAAACAAGATGGCTATAGTTTTCAAAAAAAAAAAAACTGACCAGAAAACCACTCCCTGCGGAACTAGAAAATAAATGAAGATGACCTAAATACAAAGAATGAATCAGTTACTGTGTTCTGAGTGTAAAAATGCAATGAGGCCAGGCCAGAATTCGAACCCTGTGCCTCAGGTAATTATACCGTCGCTTTAACCAGCTCTGCTATCTAGTCAACGGACACGCTGACCCAGTCAGGCTTCTGTTGTATTCAATATAGATTTAAGTGAGGACTACTTTACGTACGAAAAAATACAGTCGACTTATCTTGTGTTTTATCTGCAGTGGGGAAAGAGGTCCTGAACGAAGAGGTGGTTGAGAATTTTAAAGGACTCTGCCGCAAATACTTCGTTTGATTTCTATTTATGGAAGATCCGAACATTTTCGGATCGGAAAACATTCACGTGTTATTTTTTTTTTTTTTTTTTTTTTTTTTATAACATTATCTCGATTTCGTTGGTTACTTAGAGCCTGAGCAACGGAAATGTTCGACAATGTTACATTGATTTCAATCAATACTTCGTATGTAAGACCTGTTATGTCTTTTAAATATTAATTTGGGATTTCAATTTGGTTTTGATACTTGCCTATGAAGTAAAAGGGTATATATACAGGATATATAGTTGTCTTGTTTGTTTGTCCATCATGTGTTGGGTCCAGTTGACGAAGTATACCAAAACTCGATGTAGTAAACACTAGGGTAGGTCGGGGTACCTGAAACAGACATGTTTTTTGGCCTTATTTACATGTCTAGACGTTCACTTTAATTTCCCTCTGAACTGACTGAAACGTTGTTTTATTATATTTAAGTAACATGTCGTTTGACTTTTATTTAACCATTATGCACAAGTTACAAACAATTTTTCTTACAGTTACAATATACAACATTTGATCTAGCTAGAATAAGCCCCCCTTAAGCGCATTACAGTTCATAGATATACAATTTATACAATCAATATAATATGGTACACAGGTTTTACCCTATATTTTGAGTGACCTTTTGACCTCGATTCACAATTATTATCATGTATTTTGACTTTTGACCTGAACACGCAAGTGTTACCCTTTATTTTGACCTTTGACTTCAAAACGCAATATTTACCCTATATTTTGACCTTCATACACAAAGAGATATGGCGGGTTGCTATGCCTATTTCCCCAAAGCTATGTTACGCTAGTGCGCGCATCCAACCGTGCACTTTTATGACGCGTCCTCAGGTATTTTTATACAGGTAGCAATATCGGAATCCCGTGTCTAAGAATAGATTATTGTAAACAGACCACATATTTGGTATTTCGGCATTATTTGTTGGTGTTTAAGCACTTGATATAATTACTATTGCCAGTTGGAGGGTAAAACAATTCATAAATTTCATCAAAAATAGTGTCTTACCTACAAAGCGTAGCTGTACTGTACACGTGTACAGGAATTTGTTGACATGCTTCGAGAGAAGTATGTCGCACTAAATAGTAAAGAAATTATTACTAACAAAACTGATAAATCAATAGGTATGTTATTAAAATGAAAACAAAATTTTCCATCGATTTAAAAAAAACACTATTGCCTTATTAAGGAAAATGATCACATGCCTAAATATAAAAAACAAAATAACTGAAGGAGGATTCGAACCTGCACCGTTTATTTTCTAGTCGCAAGTAAACTGCGTTACACATTCGGCTACATAGAACATATAGATATTGGCAATTACAAACTTATTTAACCCGAGAAACACCGGTCGCAGTTTAGAGAAACTTGATCACCCCTGTTTTTCATTATTTTGAGCACTTTCCCAAAGGAGGACCACTTTTCCGTAATACGATTTGTTTTTGCATATTACATCACGGTCACAAAAAGTTTATTCAAAAGTTGGTCCTCAGATGGGAAAGTGTTGAAAGTATTTTTTTAAGTCCGGGAAACCCCATTACTTTCATAGATATAGTGTATATGGCTATATTTGCAGTATCATATTAGCAATACCTAATTTCTCAGCAGTTTACAAATTCATATTCAATTGGTTTTGTATCTTTTGTATGCATTTTTGCTACACAAAATGTTTTACTCCTTAATTTTTTTTCTCGTTTTTATAAATGCCGACTTAGGGAAATACGGGCAGTTTTCCGCCATACCTCTTTGACCTTTTCTATCTCGCCATTACGCCCACAAATTAAAGACAATAAATATTACTGTCTATATCTTTACAGCGTTCATCGACTACAAACAGGTGACCACTGTCCCCTTAACTTTTGAGACTCATGGAGGAGAGGACGTGTCTATCTACGCCCGAGGGCCGATGTCTCATCTCATAGCTGGCGTTCACGAGCAGAACTACATAGCTCACGTGATGGCTCAAGCCGCGTGTGTTGGTGCTCATCAATGTAACAAAGTGGAAAAAGTCCCTAATCCTTAATTTAAAAAAATGTTTATTAATGTTTGAAATGCATTTATTAATCATTTATTTGTATTAGTAAATCATTAATAAATATCAATCTTAATATTTCAGAAAAGATATGTTGTATTGACTTTTTCAAATATTTATTATTAAAGGGCAATCCAAAATAGAACAAATATCCCCAGCTTTTAACATTAAAATCATTTCTCAATATCTGAAATACATTTGTTGTAAAATAATGGTCATGCGCATTGTGAGTGCCACAATGCGCATGACTACATTTACAAAGTTGAGTTACTCTCTTGATAAATATTCGCGTTGTCCGATTCATTTGTTTGTTTATTTATTTAAATGGATTTCAGTATTAAATAAGTATTTACAAAACAATTTGCTTTGAATATTGTATAACAGTAACTCATGATCAAGCTATGTCTTTTACTACTCCCATTCAAACTTTCGGTACCAAAAGGCAATCAGTTGCCTCATCTCCTGATTTAGATGATGAATCTATCGCAAAATCACAGCTCAATACTACACCTATATTTGAAACGTCCGACAAAGTCCCAGCCGTCCAGCCTGTTAGTAACCCAGGTTTCGCCCTAGCCATCGATACGTCAGATCCATCTTTCATCAGTAACCTTGTGGAGGCGTTGATTGAACCTGCTTCAAAGCTTGTCGCATCAGTGATATCAAAAACTCTATCCACCCAGTTTACGCCACAAATTGAAGATGCTTTTTTTTTTTTGATGTTATCAGTGATAATGCCAATCTAATTAAAATTATATATTCACATCGCTCCCGTTTACTGATGTTGAAGCTTCCACGCGACATATCAGTAAACGGGAGCGATGTGAAGATATAATTTTAATTAGATTGTGATAATGCCTCTTTCACAACTACACTAAGGTCTTGTGTGAAGGAACAGTACAGTGCATGAACAGTACTCACGGAGTACCTGTCTAAAGTTATAAAACGTTCCTGTGCCCCAAGTATGGGGCTTTGGCGTTATTTCGTCTTTATGCTTTGGCGCTTTGGCGTTATATCGCTTGGCGTTATTTCGCGGCGACAAAGCGAATAGATATAAGCCACCATACCCGGGGGCAAGAGGCCCGTACATTCAATGCACCAGGTGCTGTCCTAGATATCTGTAACCGACAACTAGGAACCAAGGTACAGCCGAAGTCTATCTCTAGATGTCATGTTGTAGGCCCTATTGATAAGAAGTGGAAAGCTTCTATCATCATTCGGTTCATCCGTTATACGGACAGAGAACAAATTCTTGACAGTAAATGGAAACGCAAGGGTTCTGGTATACTTATAGTGGAATCGCTGACAAAATTACGCCGATCGACCGTTAATGAGCTAAACCGTCTCAGACACGATAAAAAAATGTATTCTTTTTGGACGAGAGACAGGAGGATTTTCGCAAAATAAAAATCAAACGAAACCGCAAAAAAACTCATGTGAACAACAAATGACATTAATGATTTAGTTCCCGACTACATCTACAGGCCGAAACAGAGAAACGAGAACTTTCCACTTCAATCCATTTTTATCACTTAGTCAAAACTGTATAAAAAAATATATGTTCCCCTGCATTACATTCTCTGAAATTTCAATGTGTGCTATTAGATATTCCATTTGTTTCTTACGACTGGTTATGTCACCTATAGTTCTTTGTATATTATACTAGTTTGGCGTGTTATCTTAACGAGCTATCGTCTGTGCTATGTATTTCATGACAGATGCTATGTATATCGTGGCAGGTTAATATGTCAGCCATAGCTCTATATATTACATATGGTCCGATTTTCCTTGATTTTGATTGGCTAATGCTTGATCACCTGCTCACCGATATAAAGCATGTTACTATTTTTAGCTTGCACGTGAGCATATGAACCTCGTGTTTCTAAATATAGATCCGGGTATTACGTTGCGTCAGCGCCACCTTGGTTTAGACACGCCTCGGACAAACGTCGGAAAATTGTGGAGCTGTCAGAAGCAGACATTAAAGAATTGGTGGTTAATTCAGTGTCAACCAATACCAAAAGGTTGACACAACAATCTGTTAAAATGTTCAAAGAATACTTAGCGGCGAAACACTTGGATGAGGATTTTGAGCGCTATGAGGCCGTAACATTAGACAGCACATTGGGAAAATTTTACGCCGAAATCCGTGATAAAGATTGAGAGATGAACAAGAAAACGACTTTAATGTCGAATCGCCAAGGGCTACGGAGACATTTTACAGGCGGTGAGGGACGAGAAGATTGACATTGTTAAAGGGACTGATTTTTCGGAGTCGTCCAAAGTATTTGGGGATGTTGTGAAAGAAATGAAACGACAAGGCCGGGGTGCAGTAGATCACCGTTCGCCAATTTCGGACCCAGATTTAACTTTTATCGACTACAAACAGGTGACCGCTGTCCCCTTAACTTTTGAAACTCATGGAGGAGAGGACGTGTCTATCTACGCCCGAGGGCCGATGTCTCATCTCATAGCTGGCGTTCACGAGCAGAACTACATAGCTCACGTGATGGCTCAGGCCGCGTGTGTTGGTGCTCATCAATGTAACGAAGTGTAAAAAAGTTTTTTTAACGCATATTTTGGCACCTGGCGTTCTACCGACTCAGCTGATGTTTTGCAACATAAGGTAAGAACAAAAGTTGACTGCATATGTTCGATACAAATAATTTATGACCAAATTAAAACCAATAAACAAAAAATAAAACCAATGTTTACAAATTGTCCCACCCAGACGTTTCGCCCCAATGTCATAACGCCCCATGCCAAAATATCCCAATAATGTGGCGATTATTATACAGTAGGACTGTATTGTAGCCTATAATTTATAAAACATTTCGTCACCATTTTTTATGTGCAGTATCAGGTTTCTATTTACTGTTAATGTATTTTATACTTAATGTCGTTGCAGGTGTTTGTAGATCTTATGATACATTTTGGAAGGAGGGAAAGGGAAAATCTGCGTAGTTTGGCGCGGGATGACTTTGCCATCACCAGAGATGGCGAAGGGTCCCTCTATTTCTATAAGAAGCGAGACGAGCTCACCAAGAACCACCAGGTGGACGATGCAAAGACTGAAGGCAGGATGTTTGAAATTGAAGGTAATTATCATAAAGAAAACATCTGTTGATGTGAGGAGAAAAAAAGAACATGTACTGCTATTTAAATGTTATACAGTTTAATTTTAATATTTTGAAGAAAAAAGCAGTACTGTTTAATAGTGAGTAATAAAATAAAATAGTCTATGAAAATAAATGTCATGACAGTGTTCAAACATGACAATTAGATAATAAATTTACTCATGTAGTAGAGTGTTACATGCATGCATACAACATCTTGTCTTTTTGTCTGTTTGCAGAAAGTGACCAATGTCCAGTACGGAGCTATGTGGCCTATATTAAACGGCTCAACAAGAACTGTGGGTTCTTGTTTCAGCAGCCACGACATGTCTCCAAGGATGGCGTGTATTACAACAATGTGGTACTGGGTCATAATTACCTGGGATCATTAATGAGGAAAATTTCCACTGCTGCAGGTTTGTCCAGACCGTACACCAACCACTCCCTAAGGGCGACTAGAGTACACTTACTTGATGCCGCACATTTCCCCAGTCGACACATACTGTCAGTGACAGGACACAGGTCAGAAAATTCACTTAAGACATATAACGGTAAAACTAGTAAAACCACAAAAAAACTCATGTCGGCCAAGCTAAAACAGAAAACATGCGGTGCGCGTAACACTTGCAGGAGCACGGTCGCACCTGCTTCATGTACATCATCTAATACAAACATGCAGCTGGTATCGTTGACGAGCTCTCAAGAGGAAACACTTCTCAGTGTAATTGGTGGACAGGGTTCTCTGAATGATAGACTTGATGATCTTTTCAAGAACTATGTCCTACCTGCACAAGACTCGGAACCAGTACAAGCGCACAATGCTTTCCCAAAGTCCTTACCTATGCCGGTTCTCAACAATACATAGTATTCGATGACGTCCCACATCCGGGTTACCCATTGACCCGCCGCCATTTTGTGTGTCAAACAAGCTAAAGGTTACCAGGTCAAAGGTGAGAAGATGGCGTCGAAACCGCCGCGAGCAGCAAAATTGAAGTATATTGAGACATAAGACCCTACTTCCAGAGCAAGGTACTTTAACAAACTACAGTTGATAGACAGCATTGATCCGTACGATGTGCCAAAGAAGGAGTGGTCAAGTGATGAGAAGGGGGTACTAATGTTACCCTCAATGTGAATTTAAATGTTAATATCCAAAAGTGAATTTTTGTTACACTTTTTGTTACATTTTTTGTTTCATTTTTGTTTATAGTTACATTTTTATTTTTGAAAAAAATAAATAAAAAAAGTTGTTGAATTTACTGATCATTTTTGGTCATATTTTTTATTTACCTCGTGATATCACACATGTAATATAAAAATTAAGGACTTTTGTGCGTCCGAGGTCGATATCACTCTATCAGGTCCATCTAACAACATATCGACCTCGTCAAAAGTACATAATTGATAAATATATCACGACAGGTCAGTATGTGATCTATAGTGATATAGATATTATACTACCTTAACGTGTTATCTAAACGTGATATCGTCAGTGCTATAAATATATATTGAGAGGTCATTATGTCATCTATAGTGATATAGATATTATACTAGCTAAACGTGTTATCTAAACGTGATATCGTCAGTGCTATATATATCCTGACAGGTCAATATGTCATCTATAGTGATATAGATATTATACTAGCTTAACTTGCTATCTAAACGTGTTATCGTCAGTGCTATATATATCCTGACAGGTCAATATGTCATCTATAGTGATATAGATATTATACTAGCTAAACGTGTTATCTAAACGTGATATCGTCAGTGCTCTATATATCCTGACAGGTTAATATGTCACCTATAGTGATATAGATATTATACTAGCTTAACTTTTTATCTAAACGTGATATCGTCAGTGCTATATATATCTTGACAGGTTAATATGTCACCTATAGTTATATAGATATTATACTAGCTTAACTTGCTATCTAAACGTGATATTGTCAGTACTATATATATCCTGATAGGTCAATATGTCACCTATAGTGATATAGATATTATACTAGCTAAACGTGTTATCTAAACGTGATATCGTCAGTGCTATATATATCCTGACAGGTCAATATGTCACCTATATTGCTATAGATATTATACTAGCTTAACGTGTTATCTGAACGTGCTATCGTCAGTGCTTTATATATCCTGACAGGTCATTATGTCACCTATTTCGTCTTTGCGTATTGCAGAGTTATCTTCTCTTGTGAGCAGGTATTGATTATTACGTCATTGGTTGGTGTGAGAAAATTACGTCGTTTTCTCAAAAATTGATAACGTTACTCTCACAAACAAATGACGTAACAATCAATACACAATGGGAGAACAGGGTAAGAGATCGGGTTGAGATTCCCCTTTCTCTTACCCTGGACAGGGATATCCACCATTTTACCGGTGTGAGATTTTCTTATCCCACTCTAGAGTTGAGACAAGCTACACGTGTTCTTTGCACGTTCTCAACAATTGTATGACGTCATAGCAACAATACCATGACGTCACGGCAACAATACAATGACGTCACGTCGACAATTCAGCCGCATCACATCAACATTGTCTTGCATTGATGTAACGTCTATACAAAATACATAAGAGGGCAAGGCCTCGTGTTTGGCAACTGAAGAATCTTCCCCCCTCTGGTTGAGATTTCCCTATCTCACCCCCAATGGGGTGAGAGATTCTATTAGCTAAACATGTTATTTCAACGTGCTATCGATTGTCAGTGCTATATGACAGGTCAATATGTCGCCTATAGTGCTATAGATATTATACTTGCGGAACGTCTTATCCTCAGTGCTATGTTTATCATATCTATTCAAACGTGTCATCCTTAGTGCTATTTATTTAGTAGCTTAAAGTGTTATTCTATCGTGTTATCTATAGTGCTGTATGTATACCTTGACTGGTCAAACGTGTCACTTAAAGTGCGCTATATATACTACTACATGTAGCTAAACGCGTACGTAGTATCTTCAGTGGTATATGTATTATGACTGGTCAAACGTGTCACTTGAAGTGCGCTATATATTATACTACATGTAGCTAAACGCGTACGTAGTATCTTCAGTGGTATGTGTATTATGACTGGTCAAACGTGTCACTTGAAGTGCGCTATATATTATACTACATGTAGCTAAACGCGTACGTAGTATCTTCAGTGGTATGTGTATTATGACTGGTCAAACGTGTCACTTAAAGTGCGCTATATATTATACTACATGTAGCTAAACGCGTATGTAGTATCTTCAGTGGTATGTGTAGTATGACTGGTAAACGCATTACCTATCATGCATAGTATTCGAGCTTAAACTGTTATTTTCAACTTTTCATGTTGATATACATGTATGTTCATAAAGGGGGGTGTATCACTATCTGTGTGAGGACATTCTAGCATCATACCGAACTATGTATGATATTAGGGTTTTGTGAAAACGAGTCAAATGGTCTCATTCTATGTATATATGAAGATGAGGATATAGTCGTGTACATGTACTTTTATACATGTTTGTATAAATGTTAATGATAGAAGTGAGTGCGCGAGTGTGGGTGTGTGAATGTGCGATTAAATTGAGTGTTTGTGTGTATGATAAGGATATATGCATGTATATATTTTATGACCATTGTGGTGCACTACTCTTGAATTTATCAAACGATGCATTTAGTTCACAAATTACTTGACGGTATACTAAAAAGGTAGTTTAGTGAAAACCGGATTATGTAGTTAGTGTACGAGCTACTTCTTGGTGTAAATTTGTTACTGCCTAAATCATGGTGCACTTACGTAATCCCGCTGAGGTGTGTCTTGCGTGGGATCAACAGCCCGTACGCTTATTGTTAAAGTAACGTCAAGCCAAATAGCCATGCTCTGTATACATATGTGACATATCAGCACATGCAATGCAAGTACCAGCGACTTCAAATTAAAGTGTTTTGTTCTTGTTTTTGTACAGTATTTATGCTAACTTTGTCTACAGTAGATATAACAAATATTATAATATGTAATATGATATATTATATTTCGTTAATTTTGATATACATCTTCAAACAGTGTATCTGTATGTGTGAACGATGTGTACAAAGGTGATTGTTGTGTTGGTAGACATTGACTTCACATGGATTTAGGTTTATGTATGTGTGTATATGTATGGGTTTGTATAATATATAAGTATACAATATATAGGGACACGGAACCAAATCAAAAATAGATTGTGGGTTTTTCCCTTTCGGGCACAAGATTTAATAGGAATGTGAATACCTCGGGGACTGCTGGTTAACTATTTAGGTGGCAGAAGTTTCAAAAGTTGTATGTGTTGGTTGAGCAATATATATAGATGAAAATGTATAAAAAAAAAGTCTGCTTTTGTCTGGGGGAGTTTATTAAGTGTGTAATTTGTTGTAAATTTTGGTCAATTGTTGGTGCCGAATTCAATACAAGATGGAATATAAA